GGTTCAGGCCCCCCAGGAACGTGTCTGCACTGGACAAGTGTGGGGGGAGGATCAGGGCTTTGGGAGCAGGGTTTTAGAGATACTGCAGGGACTGACAGGACTCCTACAGAGAGGGGCCAGGTATGAGGGAGGATGGGAGGAAGGAGGAGGCTGGGAACTCCAAGGAAAGGAAGTGGTGGGAAGGAGTTGAGCTGCATGTACATCAATGCTAGGAGCATGGGTAATAAGCAGGGAGAGCATGAAGCTCTCCTGGGAATAGGAGTGTATGATCTGGTGGGAATCACAGAAACTTGGTGGGATGAAAGGCAAGTCTGGAATGTGAACATAGAAGGGTATCACCTTTTTAGAAAGGACAGGAAGGGAAAGAGAGGTGGGGGCGTGGCTTTATATGTCAGGGAAAGGATAGGATGCAGTGAGACAGAATGCAGCACAGATGAGGATTCGGCAGAGGCAGTCTGGGTGAAACTTAGGGGTTTTGACAGGGAAAGAGACCTGACAGGGGGGTATGTTATCGCTCTCCAGGTCAACTTGAGACCCTGGATGTTGTTCTGACAGGCCAGATTCTAAGGATATCTCGGGGGAGAGACACAGTAATTATGGGAGATTTCAATCTCCCAGATATTACTTGGGAGACTCACTTGGCAGTGACAGCCAGGTGATGTCGCTTCCTAGAAGCTATTGAAGTACAGATTAGGGGAGCTCTGGATGCGAGTGATCACTCCATCCTTTGCTTTGAGATCAGGGGACTGCAGACGGGCAGCAGGTCGAGCACTAGAAGCTGGGACTTCAAGAGGGCCAACTTTGGCCAAGTGAAGGCCAGACTGGGGAAAGTCTCCTGGGATAGGTTACTGGAAGGTAAGCGAGTTGAGGAGGGGTGGATGGCACTCAAAAGGGAGGTTTTGGAGGCGCAAGCCTTGATGGTACCTCTAGTCAGTAAGGTGGGGAGGCGGAGGGGAGTGCCGCCATGGATGCAAAAGGTGGTGGTTAGAGGGATTAGATGAAAGAGGAACCTCCATAGGAAATGGGTACTGGGGGAAATAGACAAAAGGGTATACGGGGAGGAGGAGGCCCGTTGCAGGAGGATTCTTCGCAAGGCTAAGGCTGATTACGAGCTGAGACTTGCCAAGAATATCAAGAGCGATAAAAAGGGCTTCTTTCAGCATGTAAAGAGGAAGGGGAGACAAGTGGTGGGACCACTAAATAAGGAGGAAGGAGATCCAGTGACTGATATGAGGGAACAGGCACAGATGCTAAATGACTATTTTGCCTCTGTGTTCTCCCCAAAGCAGGACGGGGGATATCCGCATAGATTAGATGAGGCTGGGGACTTAGGGGCACAGATTAGAGACACCCCCCTTGAAGTCGAGGGGCTCCTCAGGGCATTGGACATTACAAAGTCGCCAGACCCTGACGGGTTACACCCAAGAGTACTTAGAGAGTTGGCAGGGGTTCTCTCATGCCCGCTGGCCTCCATTTTGGAGACCTCGTGGAGAACGGGTGAAGTTCTAGAGGACTGGAGGGTGGCATCAGTGGTCCCAATTTTCAAAAAGGGTAGTATGAAGGACATGGGGAATTATAGACCGGTAAGCCTTACGTCCATTGTAGGAAAAACAATTGAAAGGCTCATATTAGAGAGAGATCTAGTGATGCTAGATAGGGGAGGCTGACAGCCACACAACACGGCTTCCGCAAAAACAGGTCCTGCCAGACAAACCTTGTGGAATTCGATGACAAGGTTTCAAGATGGCTAGATGGAGGGGATGCAGTGGATGTGGTATACCTGGATTTCAGCAAGGCCTTTGACAAAGTGCCCCATGTTATCCTGGTGGAGAAACTGAGGAGTTTTGGGATACAGCAAAGCACTGTCCAGTGGATTAGGGCATGGTTGACTGACCGAAAGCAGAAGGTAACCATTAGTGGGGACTCATCGGGATGGCGGCCAGTGACAAGTGGGGTCCCCCAGGGCTCTGTCCTGGGGCCGATCCTGTTTAATCTTTTCATTAACGACATGGAAGAAGGGGTGAACAGTCTGCTGATCAAATTCGCAGACGACACTAAAACTGGAGCAGTGGCCACAACTGAGGAGCAGGTGGTCCAGATCCAAAAGGATCTGGACAGACTATGGAACTGGGCAGGAGACAACAGGATGGTGTTCAATGTGGATAAGCACAAGGTCTTGCACTTGGGGCATAGGAATAGTTGTCATAAGTACAGGTTAGGTGATAAGTGGCTGGAGAGCAGCACTTGTGAAAGGGACCTCGGGGTACTGGTTGCCTGCAGGCTAAACATGAGTCAGCAGTGTGATGCGGTGGTCAAGAAGGCGAACGCCACCCTTGGTTGCATAGCCAGAAGTGTGGCTTCTAGATCAAGAGAGGTATTACTACCACTCTACACGACTCTGGTGCGCCCGCAACTGGAGTATTGTGTTCAGTTTTGGGCCCCTCATTACCGAAACGATATAGCCAGGTTGGAGTCAGTGCAGCGTAGGGCCACAAGGTTGGTGGCCGGTTTGCAGGGGATGCCGTATGAGGCAAGACTGAGGGAACTGGGCCTCTTCAGCCTGGAGAAGAGGAGACTCAGAGGGGATATGTTGGGAACATACAGGTATGTGAGGGGATGTCACATGGAGATGGGTAGAGGCCTGTTCTCCCCTGCAAAGGAAGGCAGAATGCACTCCAATGGAGCAAAGCTCAGGGAGCTAAGGTTCCATTTGGATGCCGGGAAGCACTTCCTGACAGTCAGGACCCCGAGGGTATGGAATGGGCTTCCCCGGGAGGTGGTTGAGGCCCCATCGGTGCAGGTGTTCAAGGATAGGCTGGACGTGCACATGGTGGGCATGTCGTGAGCGGAGCCGGCTGGTGCCGGAGGTCAGACTAGATGGCCCGGGAAACCCCTTCTGACTTGCTCTGTTTTCTATGTTTCTATGTTTCTTCCTTTTATAACACAACCTTTAAAGCATTCCACTCACTACTGCTTCCATTTTTTGGAATAAACTCAGGTGTTTTTTGTGCTCCGGTTTCAAAGTACAAAGGGTCAGTAGTGCACTCCTGTCCATCTCATAATTTGGGGACTGCATGGGGAAAAAATCTTTTTAATTGGTAATACAATTTACTACTATAAGGTAACATCATCAGGAGCCTGCATCAGTGGCATGGAAATTCTCAGTGGTGCGTGTTTACGTCAACTGCCCTTCAAGATAGCTTACCTTCAACTCATTAAGAATGGTACAGTTTGTGCTTCTTCATGTACAGATCACATATGAGTAACATTTGATCAAGTAACTCCACAGGGCTATGGAATTTGCACATCCATACTAGACCTCCCTGGGCGGTTGGTGGGAGCTGGTATAAACCAATATGCAGGAAGTTCCCAATTCAAATATTGGGAACTTAGTTTACCTTAAGACGAGTTGCTATCCTTATTCCTTATATAGTATTTTCCTATTGCCTGTGATTCATCACTGAAGCTGAACCTCATTGAGGTTTAACAAATGGAAATAATGCCTATAGCACAAGTTGAATGGCTTCGATTTTTGCCTTTTGGGAGACCTGCACTATTGACATCATTACTTAGTTAAGCATTCTTGGTCAAAGTCTAGCTGGTTAATGAGCACAAACCCCCACCTGCCAAGCCAGAGGCAAGTGAAATGTGAGAAAAGTTTGTGGGGGTGAAAACAAGACTAAAGTACAGTCTGCTTTAAGATGAGCATGTGGAAGGCTTCCAGCTAATGGCAGAACACCTGTCCCCAGCCTAATGTTTCTAAAAACATATAAATTTATTCTCTTTCAGCACCAGATGCACACAGCCCAGAGGAAAGCTGGCATGTCATATATCCTTTATTAACAAAACAATCAAAACAATAAATATTTCAAGTAAAACTTATACATGGTTTAGCACACAGCATAATATAATTGAATTGCAGGACTCTTCACATTGGTAAAAACTGCTTTTCAACAAAGAAAAATATAAACCCAACATACCTTTCATAAAACTTCAATAAACTGCTCAACAAGTACAAATTCCCCCTTCCCCTTCCAGTTTTCCACAGCCAAGTATATAACATATATTTAGCTCATAAACTTGTACTTCTGGGGACCACTTACAACACTGACCACTCCTGTGGAACCCCAGAAAATCTAGCGCATGTTCTAGAGTGCATCAGATTCCCATAAAACATTGGATGTGGCTACTGGACTTCAAACAATCCTATGAAAATGGAGATTACAGACAAGATCCACCAAATTTCACACTGAAGGAATAACCAAACTAGTTAAGTGTATCAGAGTTTTGTCCAGGAACTCCCTCCAAGTTCCACACACAATGCATTTTAAAAACCACAGCTCAAGGCAGTGGACCAGCTTGCAACCAAACATGCTCATGGAGCAGCATATAAGTCACTGCCTTCTCTGTCTCTGTCTGTCTCTCTCTCGCACAGAGGATGTATCCACCATTTGGACGGAGACACTCAATCCACCTACCTGCCCTTTTTAGGAGAACTTTTGGCACTTGGAGAGAAGAGTCTAATTAGGTACATCTGTGCTTGTTATATCTTTCAGTTATGCAGCTATTTAATAAAATCATTCCTTTGATTATGATCTAGTTATTACTTCTCCTGAAAAGAGGCAGAGGTCTTCCCCTCATACTGAACAAGTCTGAGCTCTTGAAATAAAGACCTTCAAACTGCAAGGTTTAACCTGGGTCAAGGATGAGGAAAAGTGGTTCTCCAGATGTTGCAAATCCTACCAGCCCTAGCCAACATAGTCAATGGTGATGGAGGGTAGAGGATGAGGTCCAACAACATCTGGAGAACCATATTTTCCCTATTCCTAGCCTACACTCAAGAACTGCTTCTCTGCAGCAAGTTCCCACACCACAGGGGTGTGGGTACAGTTTACCCTGTGCTGGGGCTGAAACCATGGGTTTTTCCTTCCTGGTATTATCAAGTGTAGCAACTGGCTCCACCCATGTGCTTTGAGTATTTTTGCACACTCTTGGACAGAAGTGGATCCTTTATCACTGATGGGATATAAAATAAAGATCTTAAAAACTGAGGTATCTACAATATTTATGACAGGTTCCAGCAGTACCATCCCTGCACAGTAGCAATAAGGTCATGAAGATACAGATTAAGATAAGCTAGCAGGCTTTGCACCTGAACATAAAGCGGCTGTCTTTGCAGGTGCATAATACTTACTTACAAAGAACTGGGAATGCTTTTGGTGGCACAACTCCATATACTTTAGGAATAAAGCACAGATCCCATCTTTTCCTGGCTTGGCAGTTTTTCTAGCCTTTGGACATGACGTGTATTCCAGAGAAAAAAGGGAATTGCGTCCTCCATCCTGGTAGGAGTTGTTTGGCAAAGTAAATCAAAACGAAGAGAGAGAGGACAATTGTTTAATTCACAAAGTCTCTGAGGAAAGAGGCAACAAGAAGAATAGAGAAATGCCAATCTAATTTATCACTTCCCTAGTTCTGGAGACTGCTCAACTCTGACGTTATATGGCTCAAGCTCAAGCAGTTACTCATTTAACAGCCCTAGAAAGTAAAAGCCCAGTTTAAAAACACACATAGAAACCTTACGAAGGGATATATCAACTAGACCTTAAAAAGGAAACTCTTGCCGCAAATACCACATTGCATTATGCTAGGTGGGTTTAATAAGCCACCCTCTAGCTTCACACACTCACTGTATGCACAGTTCCAAAACTAGGAAATATTAAAATAAGTAGCTGACACTAAGAAAACTGCAGGATCTACATGAACAGAACACTGATTTTCTCTCCTAAAAGTTTCCACTTCTAAGTCAGTCCAATCCAAAGTTCTATGTAGACACAACCTCACTGAATTAAAAAAAAAGCCCCTTGATATTAAGAGAGCAGTGAAACAATAGTCTTATAAAGAACTGTTCTAATGGGCTCTCAGAAACACAGCTGGATTTCTTTAATGAGGTGATCAATAACATTTGACAAGATCCTCAGACAGGAAGCTTGTCCATTACTACCAATCTTCCCTTGGAACAATGAATGGCCAGAGAAAGTTGAGTGTGTTCTCCATTTACAAAGGAGGGCAATGCTGAGGTTTAGCCCATATTCTGCACTTCTGTGCTCAGTTAATCTTAATGCATTTGTCTATTAAGGAACTTACAAATCACCTGCAGAATCCCAGTGTCACCCTTGGTCAGTTGGGTACCAAAAAAAAAGACTTGTTTGCCTTTGTAGTCATTTGGGTCCAAGCAGAGATGCTAACTAACAATTCACAGCAGCTCGGCTTTGCAGGGGAATGGTGAAGGTCTTGTGAGCAGTTTGTCCGCTGTCACTGTTCTTCTCATAGAGGAACCCAGGATTCATAAACACAATTTGAAAACTGCTGAGAATGTGCACCAGAATCCTCTAAAACTTCAAGGAGTCTGAGGAAGGCACCTCAGCAAACAAACGTATGTGGGAAGTTTTCCTGAAGGCAAAACATTTGAAACCAATGCAGTGATGTACTGTTGTGAAGACAGAAGTGTGAACCTTGTTAAAGCAACATTTTGATAGGTACGGACAGTGGTGGTAAGAAGATGGAAGCAGAAAAGGTTTTAAAAATATATTCCTAAGGAATGCTTTAATCCAAGCTGCTGCAAACCAAGTTCACACCACTCTCTTCTACTCCTTCTGGCTAGCATATGTTTCAAGCATGTTCCTTATCAAGTAGAGTCCATGAAAATATGTGTGGAGGTTGCAATGGAAAACTACAGCTTGAGCTCTCTGTCAGGTTTCATACTAAAAGGCTCCAGTCTCTCACTCTCTGGCAGCAGGCTATTCAGCCTCTCCATCAGAGGAATAGTTAAGTCGATCCCCATCTGGATGCGTCGGAGGATGGTGGACATCTCATTGACCTTCTGGATCTGTTCAGCATACTTGGCATATCTTTTTTGGCGCTCCTGCATTAAGCTGTAAAGTGTTTCTACCGAAAGATCCATCTGTTTACAGAAACAGAAGAAGATGATTATGTTAAAGGTCACCTTTCAGAGAAGCAAGAGATGCTTGCTGGAGACCACTGCAGCCTTTGCCATCATCAATGGATCAAACCACACTCTGCCTTTACATACTCAGCCACTAAGTCCTACTTGTCTACACACTTTACTTGTTCAAGCGTCAGAAGCTGAAGAGCATACAGGTAAGAACCATGGAACTCCTCTTGCAGAGATGTCAGATAGGAGCCAGACTGAGCAAAGGGCCATCAGTGGCCTGCTTGTGCCTGCCTTAGCCCTGTAATCCTCATTCCGAGCTATAAAAAGTAGGTATATGAAGCCCCTCACAGTCACCCATACTTGCCTTGCTCACTCTCTTCTTTGTGAGGCCCAAATTACAATGTTCACATTTTTACCACTGATGTGTGCTTGCCTCCCCTCACCCTTTATTTACTCTAAGTAGGCAGGAAGAGGCAAATTGAATCAGGACCATAGTGTAGGGAGGGGTTAAGAAAGGATTTTAAGTCCCCTGCCAATACATATGTTATGCATAATGGAGCAAAGCTCCCAACCTGTGACAATCTGAGCTTTCCTCCAATTGTGAATAGCAAAGTGAGTATGTTAGAGGTAAAGATGTGAATCATATAGAAGGGCACTTCCATTTATAACTCTGTTTTTTTCTCATCATGTTGGGCAGAACAGCTCCATTTTTGCTCTTGAATACACTGAAATAACAAGAGAGAAATAAGCCAATCTGGCCTTGTAAGCCAACCACTTTCTCAGGGGAAACTATCTTAATTTAATTTTCTTAACACTAAGTGGGGATGAATCTCTAAACAGTACCTTGAAGACTGAGACAACTGTATTCTAACACATACAGATGGGGCATTTCCAAAGGAAGTTTAAATGCTCACGTCAAGGTACAAACATGTGACTTAAGAAACCCTACCCTTGATAAATATATTGGCTCACATTTCTTAAAGTTCTGGGAAGTTTTTCTCCATAACACAAAATTGGAGACACACACTAGAAAAGACTTTTAATTTCCACGAAAGTAAGTGTTTTGAGCATGACTCTAGATTAGGAGGCAGTAAGCCTAGCACTATAACTTGACCGGACACATAACTGGCAGACTCTTCTGTGCATAGGCGATTTTGTTGTGTCTTAGCATCAGGAACAACTGAATGCCACCCTAATTATGAAATACAGCTGGAATGATCCAAGTGGCTTCTTTGAATGAAGCAAGACCAGAGTAGAGAAACATGCAGAGAGCATCCTCTGGGAGCAAATACTTTGGATCCACAAATTAATGTCGTTAATTGGTCTGTTGTAGTTTGGGAAGTACTGACAGAACACAGAAACTATGGGTGTAATTTTATTATCATACCACAAATTAAAACAAAAAATTAACACCAAATCCCATATACAATTAGAAAAGAACCTACTAATTAAATAATTAAAAGAGCACAAGGAATTCTTATCTTTAGTAAAGGACCTAGACCTAGAAGAAATTGTACATTTCTTGCAATGAAAATTAGTATTCTAAAATATCAAGAATTTCTCACAACACTGCTTATGCACAATGAAAACCCAGTCTGTGCTTTTGAAACTTGTTATTATGATGTGCCAGATTTTCATACCTTAGATTTTTCCAATATTTAGCCATTAGCACTGGAACTCCAACCAGAAGATTACTCACAAAAACTGCATCAGCTTTTTTAGTCAATACCTCAGCAAGTTCAGCAATACCATCTCTGGTGCTTTGGGAATATAAGTCGCTATAATATTGGAAAAGATCCTCTTTCTTTTCCAACTCATTCACTCAAAATTTTTGGATCAGCTTACAGCACCACCAGTGCACATGACACTTCATGAATACAGTACATCAGCCTTCTTCAAACTGGTCCCTTCCAGATGTGTCAGATTTGGGGAAGACTGTTGCACATTTATGATTTATTGCCTCTCAGCACAGACAAACAAACAGAATTTCACCTGTGAGTCATTTATAACAAATGCAAGAAAGGTCAAGTTCCTGCTTCTGTTACTTAAAATTGTGTCACTCAGTTAACAGGGTCTAGCATACATATCTTATTCAAAGTTAGCAGAAATATTTCACACCCTCTGAACCCCATTTCCAAAATGAATTGACCTTCATGAAAGTTCGACTAATCTCATGTTCCACTGAGCCAAGTGATCAGGTCATTTGCTCCTTGTTTAAAAACTACAAAGATGCTACATTCCCTGTATGTAACATCCTTGCATCTGCATCAGATGATGGCTCACCCCATCTATAAACTCTGCAAATAAAATCCAACATGCACTAGAAACACGACAATGGTTTCTCTGTTTAAACAGAGGACTGACATGGGGAAGGTGTGTCACGTTCCAAAGAAGCAGCAAGAAAACAAAGATTAGTTTCTACAATTGGATGGAGCAAAATTACTTGCTCGTATCTATTCAGAGACAGAATGGGCTATTCTGAGGAGTGGGGAGCTTATACAAGCTTGCAACTGACCACTTGCACGGTCCCACAACATACTCTGAGCTGACCTTGGCATAACGACAGAAGAGCCACCCTACTGGGACCAACCAAGCATCCTTCTAGTCTGCTCGCATAGCAGCTGTACATGGGAAAACCTCAAGTAGGACATTAGTGCAACAGCACCTTCTCACCCATATTCCCCAGTACCTGGTATACTTAGGCACACTGCCTTTGAAACTGCAAGTAACATATAGTCATTAGGATTAGTAGCTATTGATGAAAATGCCAGAATGATGACCCTGTGCAGATTTATACCAAGAAGCTAAACTCCAGAAGGAAACCCCAGCAGGAACCTACAGCACCTGCAGTCTTGCTCAGGCAAGGAGCCCACATTTAAACAAAATTTATACTTAAAATAAACCCAGGCTTGGAAAGATGGAGGAAAAGCAGTGCATGTCACTGTACTCTCTACAGCCATTGTGCTGGGCTTGCTAGCAGAAGAGACTGCTTATAAACATAAAATGAAGGCTTTAATTTGGGCCCAGTGTAGGCTCAGGTTTTTAGGGCTATAGCAAAGCTCTGGAACTAAAGTTCTGATATACAGTAATCTCCAGATTGAGATCACACACAAGAGAAGCCAGACTTCGAAATGACAGCCCTCTGTCTGTTGTCTCCTTCAACCACCCATTCACTATTGTGCTTGCCCCTAAACAGAACATCTCTACTCTTGGGATGGGGTTGAGGAACTAACAATTAGCATACATTCCGAATCACGGAAGCTGGGGAAGATCAGGAGTTCTGCCACAGACTCCCTTGCTTTTCAGACAAGGCCCTCCAATAAGACTGGTTGCAGCAGCAGTTGGGCCAATCCAGCTAAAGTGAGGCTTTGAGGGAGCTAGCTCACCAAATATTAGGAGCACAGTACTGAAGCTTCTCAGCCCCAGTGACAAAGCTTATGCCCACCAATGAGTTACGCAACCAAGCACGTTCAGCAACAGGGTGAGGAGGCCTGGGCACAGGGCTCTGCCCGCCCACCTCCTAGTGGGTTACCCTTGTGGAAGCCTAGTGGGTATAAATTGTAAGCAACATCTGAAAGTTAATCCACTGCACTCTCCCAGTAGAATAAAGAATTAAAATAAAAACCAAACCCCCTACGCTTTCTAGGTGAATAAGCTCAATAGTAAGCTGTCCAGAGGCGTTAAGTGATGAGATGGCATGTAAAAACTCCAGATAGATAGATAGATAGATAGATAGATAGATAGATAGATAGATAGATAGAACCATTTCAACTCAGTTATGAAGACAGAAAGCTAGCAAGGGTGTGGGGGTCACCTGTCCAACTGGGCAGAAATTGTGCATGTGCACTCTGTGTAATAAGCTTTTGACTCTCAGGAAACAAATGGTTCTCTTTAAGAAAACCAAAAATCAACAAACATATAAAGGGACAAGCCCTGCAGATAAAAAATCAACAAGGCTTCCACAAGGGTAACTCCTTTCTGACTAATCTATCCAAGTTGAGAATTTTAAAAGCCTGTGGACAGGATCAATCCAGGAGACACTGTTTACTTGGACTTCCAAAAGGGTCTTGAGTCAGGGAATAAAGGAGGAAGTCCTTTTATGGATCACTAACTGGTTAAAGAGCAGAAAGTAGAGCGTTAGGAACAAAGGGATCTGTATTAGAAAAATGCTTTTCAACCTTTTTTAGAAATGATTTGGATTAATTAATTAATTAATTAATTAATTAAAAGCTTTGGTATGCCATCCTATTATACAAGATCTCAGTTAGGAGTGAGCAGTGAAGCAGATAACTTTGCTGATGACATAAAGGATTTAGAGTAATTAAAACCAAAAGGGATTGTGAGGAGCTCCAAAGACCTGGGAGAATGGGCATCAATGTGGCAAATGCAGTTCAAGGTTAACAAGTGGAAAGTAACACACTTTGGGGCAAAAAAAATCCCTACTATGCTGATGGAATCTGAGCTAGCAGTGAATGATCAAAAAGGGGATTTTGGGGTATGGTAGACATCTCAATGAAAAACTGCAGCTGTGAAAGACAAACTCATGTTAGACATAATTAGGAACAGGATTGAAAACATGACTGCTAAGATCATATACTCATTAAACAAATCTTTGTTGTGACTGCACTTAGAATATTATGTATTGTTCTGGTCATTTTACCTGAAAGGGGAACTACTGAGTTAGAAAAAGTACAGAGAAGGGCAACAAAAATTATCAAGGGGCTGATGTAATCCCTATGAGGACTGGCTTCAATGGGGATGAGAAGGCATGGTGGAAGCATTTAAAATTGTGTAGGGTGAAAGTGGAGAGAGACATTTTTCTTCTCCCATAATATTAGAACCCAGGGTCATTCCATGAAGTTGATTAGTGGGAGAGTCTGGACAGCTAAAAGGAAGTACTTCTTCACACAACACGTAATACAACTATGGAATTCCCTGTCACAGAAAGTAGTGAGGGTTACCAATTTGGACGGCTTTAAAGGGCATTGGACAAATTTATGGAAGAGGAG